CCTGTAATCCATGCTACTCAGGAGGCTAAGGCAGGATAATCACTTAAACCTATGAGGTGGAGGTTTCAGTGTGCTGATATTGCGCCACTGCACTCCAGTCTGGGCAACAGAGTGAGAGTTTATCTCAAAAAAAGAATCCCCACACACAGAAGATTCTCACACATTAGAGGTGTTTAATTCATAATCAACTGGCTAAGAATAAAGCTCTCTGAACATGTAATGACAGTGGCAATGGAAATGGCTATTCTTTTTGAGCCTTTTCTCCAACTCCCCATCTACTATACACATGATCCAAGCAAATGCAGCAGAAAAAAAAAACCAGCCACTCCCCAGCATAGCAGGCAGAAACTAAACACAGGAGAAGGCACCAAACTGAATGGGCAGCCATGTAGCTGCAAGAGAGAGACTGCCAAGGTTTTAGGACCCCGAACTGTTTTCTGGGCTTTGGTCTCAGGCTGCATAGGCCAGAAGATTCTGTTGGTGGCTAGTCAGGAAAAATAAAACCTGACTGCAAAGTTAGAAAAGATAATATATCATATCTTCATATCCTCTTTTGCAAACAGTATTGAACTATCACCTGGTGTCAGGGCATCTTAAAAATTCAGTGTTTTCACTTAATATGAGAACATTAATTCTACTTGCTAAAGGTGATATTAGAGATAAGTGAGTTAAAAAGTGCAAATATCACAAAGAGAAGGTCTTAGCAGGTTCTTTCAAACCTCCTGTCCTACCAGATTAAATACTGGTACAGATATTAAACAAAGATCATAAGCATATTGAGGATCTTGCAGTCAGAGTACTCCATCTATGTATGTACTGTACTAGGCACACATCAAGAAGGCCTGGTGATAGGGCATGCCCAGTGAGTTGGGGCTTTCTCTTATTCCTTGCCTCTGGAAAGCCTCCAGGCTGACTCCATCTTTCCTTCACACTACTGTTCACCCTCTGCAATCTTCCACATCAAATCCAATTTTGAATTAACTGTGGGCATCCAAAGAAAGGGTGGTTGTCTCCCTATAGCAACTGAGTAGCTACCACAAAAGCATGCAGATTTTCACTTAGGCCTATCTCACAGCCATAAATATCTACATTGGGAAAAGAGAGAGTAAAAACAACTGGGAGCCACAAGTAAAAGCCTGCTACAAATACTGTTACCAAGAGAAATATCTACAAACAACTTCTCCTTTCCCAGGAAATGGCCCAAAACAGTTTACCAATTCTTCAGGATGACTCTTTTACTATAAATAATCTTGTGTCAAAAAAATTACCTTTACTCTGAGGTAACCAGAGTCATATAATGTAATGGCAATATTTTCTCAGCACTGTAGATAAGAGATATTGGCTGAACTCCCCCAACCCCCAAAATCTGGGCTGTAGTTCAACAATTTCTTTCAACTCTATTTCCCACTTTAGGCCTTCCAACCAAAACAGAGTTCACCAGAAACATCCAAAATCACTCTTGAAAACAACTTTATATCTTGACCTGCTAAAACACCGTCTGATACTTCAAGGTCGAGCAAACCCAGATGACAACAGAAGTCAGAGGATTGTTTTTTTTTTTTTAAAGAGAGTCTTGGCCTGTCACCCAGGCTGGAGTGAAATGCAGTGGTGTGACCTCCACTCACTGCAACCTCCGCCTCCTGGGTTCAAGTGATTCTTCTCCCTCAGCCTCCTGAGTAGCTGGGATTACAGGCATTCACCACAACACCCGGCTAATTTTTGTATTTCAGTAGAGACGGGATTTCACCATTTGGCCAGGCTGGTCTCAAACTCCTGACCTCAGGTGATCCACCTGCCTTAGCCTCCCAAAATGCTGGAATTACAGGCATAAGCTACCAGGCCTGGCCTGAAATCAGAGAATTTTTAAAAATAAGGAAGAATCGGCCGAGCACAGTGGCTCAAGCCTATAATCCCAGCACTTTGGGAGGCCGAAGTGGGTGGATCACCTAAGGTCGGGAGTTCGAGACCAGCCAGCCTAACCAACATGGAGAAACCCCGACTCTACTAAAAAATACAAAATTAGCTGGGCATGGTAGCACATGCCTGTAATCCCAGCTACTGGGAAGCTGAGGCAGGAGAATTGCTTGAACCCAGGAGACAGAGGTTGCAGTGAGCCGAGATCACGCCATTGTACTCCAGCCTGGGCAACAAGAGTGAAACTTCTTCTCAAAAAAAAAATCAGGAAGAATCTTTCAAACACATTTCCCTTTTCATCTTGAGAAATTTAAAGTCAAAGTAAACAAAGTAGAAAAAGATCCCTTCAAGAATAACAAGGTCAATGTGAGGTGGAAATTCAATCAATGATTTACTGAAAGATAAATTGCAAATGGTACTATGAAAAGTGTTCTGGACTAGGAGACAGAAGGTCTAGATTTGGGTATATGTCCTAACATTTACTAACAGCTAACAGCTATCATTTGTTGAGATCTACTATGAACCAAACACTGTTCTAAGTGCCTTGTGTACATTTAACTCATTTCATCTTCACACATACCCTGTGTGGTAGGACCTATTTTTTTGTTTTGTTTTGTTTTGAGATGGAGTCTTGCTCTGTTACCAAGCTAGGCCAGAGTGCAGCAGCATGATCTCGGCTCACTGCAACCTCCGCCTCCCAAGTTCAAGCCTTTCTCCTGCCTCAGCCTCCCGAGTAGCTGAGACTACAAGTGTGTGCCACCACACCAAGCTAATTTTTGTATTTGTAGTAGAGACGGGGTTTCACCATGTTGGCCAGGATGGTCTCAAGCTCCTGACCTCATGATCCGCCTGCCTCGGCCTCCCAAAGTGCTGGGATTACAGGCACTAGGCATTGTGCCTGGCTGGTAGGCCCTATTTTAATTCTGCTTTATATTTAAGGAAATTACACAGAGTAATTAAGTGATTTGTTCAAGATCACCCAGTAAGTGGTGGAACCATGAACTTGAATATTAACATTTCTGAATCTTGGCTGTCTTCTCTGTCAAATGAAGAAACCAAATATTTGTCCCAATTACCTTACAGAGATGTAGCTGTTAAGATAATGTATATAAAGGTGTTTTGTACACTAGAGAGTCATGTAAGTCTTGATTTTTCTTTTACTGCATTTTCAATTATTTCTATAACAGGTAAAATTAAAGTTGAGTTTTTGCATATGGTCTCATTATAAAAATTAGAATTCAAATTAACGATATGCGCTTTCTATTTTGCATTTGCAAGCATTTAGAGAATAAAGAGAAGTAACCTAGATACTGAAGAAAAGCCTTAAATAAAGTTACTTGAATGACAGGCTGAATATTACTGCAAACAAACAATAAAGTATCTGAATATCTGCTTTCATATATGATTAGCCATTTCTACCACAAGAGTGTCAGATGTAATATTATCTTCTGATTTTAGTAAATTTTAAAAATAAAAGCCAATTATGCGTATAAACAGAGCTCCTCTATCTATTAGTCTGAGAGATATTAAAAAAAAAATTGGCCAAAAAATTATCAGCTTCCTCTGTTCTCTTGCCCTCTGACCGAGTAACAGATAATATGATTATAAAACTCTTCCATTGTTCTCTAGGGGATTCCAAAGGAAGAAAAAGAAAATAGAGAGGAAAAAAAAGAAAAAAAAAAACTCCTCCAGTTTCAGAAATGGTAACCTGAGGAGTACGTGGGGGCTTCAGTGATAGGGCGAGCTATGGGAGGTCCTCAGCTCCCAGCCAGTCTATGAGAGCAGACAGGGCTCTAGAGGGAACAGGAGGAGCTCCTGGTCACTGTCACCATCACAACTTCAGGTTATAGGTAGAACGGATAGCTGAAAATTCCTTGCTTTCCCACTGATGTCATACAGGTTGGAGAAGAAGGGTAGAACACTGAGGGATTTTTTTTTTCTTTCAACAATTCTAAATTGACCAATACAATTTTCTGGGAGAAAAAGGAGCACCATGGTTGGGGGATGAACTTAATTAGGATAATTCCATTTCATTTGGCGAGGTGTGTGAAGTGTAAATTTAATTTAAAGATTTTTATTTTATTTTATTTTTTTTATTTATTGAGACAGAGTCTTAATCTGTTGCCCACGCAGGAGTGCAGTGGTGCAATCTCATTCACTGTAACCTCTGCCCCCCAGGTTCAAGTGATTCTCCTGCTTCAGCTTCCCCAGTAGCTGTGACTACAGATGCGTGCCACCATACCCAGATAATTTTCTGTATTTTTAGGTAGAGATGGGTTTCACCATGTTAGCCAGGCTGGTCTTGATCTCCTGACCTCGTGATCTGCCCACCTCGGCCTCACAAAGTGCTGGAATTACAGTGTGAGTCACCACTCCTGGCCAATATTTTTTTTTAACACCTGAGAACACATTAAGTATAAGCTCCAAAATGTTCTCGGCTATCTTTCAAAAACAAAGCTTCCCAATCTCTTAAATAAATAATTATTCAAATTATAATTTTTTAATACTTGAACCCTAGTAGAAATAACAATCATCAAGAACGGTACTACCATAACTATCATGTACTAAATGCTCACAATATTCTAGACACTTTGCTAATAAATATTTTACATGTTAGCTCATTTCATCCTCACGGTAAAACTTGATGAGGTGAATACAATTGTTATTATTACCATTTTCAGATTAGGAAAATGAAGCTCCAAGAGGATAGGGGAATTCTCAGATTGAAACCTAGAAATGAAATCTGTAATGAAAATCTAGATCAGTTTCCAGAGCCCATTAATTTATACCATCTCATCTAAAAATGGTAAGATAAACTTTTCAATTTCACTAATAAAAAACTTGCCTTTAAAATGTCCTTGTGACAGTGACCATTTAATAGTGTTTTAATAGCAATAAGTAGTCACCGTGTGCTTTAGTCTTATAATTTAAGGCCTATGCAGACATAATTGCTCTGAAGCACACAAAAACAATATTAAGGGTTATGCGCTAAAACAATGGGCATGGACTCTTCTAATGATATAAAAGACAAAAAGCCTTGGGAACTGTAAAGAAGATTAAAGAGATATAACAATGAAATGCAGAACCCAAGATGGCTGCACTCTTGCTGAGACATGTTGGTCATCATTGCCTCCGAGCCCACTTTTGCCCGAAGCTCTGTGTCAAAATGCTGTTCCTTTGGGAACCACGGCCAAAGAAGAGACGGAGCAGTTCTGAAATAAGAACACAGGCTCAAACCATCCCATTTGAACAAATCACTATCTACAGTTGGTCTCTTCCCACGGTAATGTCCATCTACCACCGTGGCACTGGCATTGCTTTGAACGCAGGGGTCTCTCTTTTTGGCATATTGGCCCTGTTACTCCCTGGGAACTTTGAGTCTTACATGGAACTCGTGAAGTCCCTGTGTCTGGGGCCAGCACTGATCCATGCAGCTAAGTTTGCACTTGTCTTCCCTCTCATGTATCATACCTGGAATGGGATCTGCCACTTGATGTGGGACCTAGGAAAAGGCATGAAGATTCCCTAGCTATACCAGTCTGGAGTGGTTGTCCTGGTTCTTACTGTGTTGTCCTCTGTAGAGCTGGCAGCCATGTGAAGAACAGAGGTTGCCAGGATCATCTTCCTGTCTTCCTGTACATTATTACATTCACCCATCTTTCTGTTTGTCACTTTTATCTCCAGCTTGGGAAAAGTTCTCCTTATTTGCTTAAATCCTTTTGTGCTTTCAGATCCCCTTGGAGCAGTAGAGTACCTTGTAGATCATAATAGTGGAAAAGGGTGTAGTTTCCCCCTTGTTTTTAAAGATGGGGTGGCTGCAAAAACTCCCCTTTTTTGCCCACAGCTTACCTACTCTGGGCCTGGAAGCAGTTATTCCCTTACCATATTGGGCTTTGATTTGTGCTGAGGGTCATCTTTTGGCTTCTTCTTCCTGAGACAGTGGAAACAGTGCCAACTCTGTGGCTTCTGCCCTGGGGTCCAGGGGTGATGTTTTGAGTGTCACTGCCTATGTGTTGCTAGCTTAAACAACAATTTTGTTCACTGGTGAGAGCCAAGGCCATTAACACCTATGTAGTGTTATTGAAAGAAGAGAGGTGGGGGTGGAAAGGAATTAGTCTATGCCAGCTAGAGGAAGATAAAGAGGACTAGTTAGTTCTTGGAGCAGCTGTTTTGAGGAGAAACTATATAGCTTTAGACACAAGAGGAAGATCCAGAAAATTATCATTGAACATATTAAAGATTATTTCTTTCTCTTACATTTCCAGAAAAGCCTCTTAATTTTATGCTTTCTTATCCAAGTCATGAACCATTTTTTTTCTGAAATTGAATTAAAATATTCTTAAAAAAAAAAAACTAAATGCAAGTTGTTTTAACTCTTGACTTTGAATGGATTGTGAATTTTTAAAAATGCTCTAAAGTACATTATTGAAACAATCTGGATATTTCTTGTTCTCAGGAGAAATGTGCTAAAGTATTTAGGAATGAGAAGTCTACAACTTGCTTTTTTTTTTTTTGAGACAGAGTCTCACTCTATTGCTCAGGTTGGAGTGCAGTGGTGCAATCTCGGCTCACTGTAACCTCCGCCTCCGAGGTTCAAGTGATTCTCCTGCCTCAGCCTCCTGAGTAGCTGGGATTACAGGCAAGTACCATTACATCAGGCTAATTTTTGTATTTTTAGTAGAGACAAGGTTTCGCCATGTTGGCCAAGCTGGTCTCAAATGCCTAACCTCAGGTGATCCACCCGCCTCAGCCTCCTAAAGTGCTGGGATTACAGGTGTGAGCCACCGTGCCCAGCCTACACTTACCTTAAATGGGCTATTGGGGAAATATATAGAGAAACAGAGACAGAGAGAGAGAACATGCATGCACAAATGTGGCCAAATGCTAATAATTGGTGAATCTAGAAGAAAGCTAATACAGTGCTCACTGTATTATTCCTAGAGCTTTTTTTTTTTTTGGTAGGTTTGACATTTCTCAAAATAAAAATGTGTGGGCAAAAAAAAACCCTACAAGGTTTCTCATTCTAGAAAGAGGTGTGTGTGTGTGTGTGTGTGTGTGTGTGTGTGTGTGTGTGTTTAAAAAGAAACACCAGTTCTTCAAATCAGCTAATACTATCAGTGATGTATATGTTTCAAGCACCGACTAAAAATGGAAAAAAAATTCAGCTTGTGGAGCTGTGCCCTGAACCACTTCAGCTTTCATAAAATGGCAGACCAAAGAATGGTTGGTTTCAGACTGAGACCAACCCTAGAAGGAAAGGTCCATGGCCTGGACAGATAGGCAGCTCTCTCCTCTCACAAAATCAGGCTTCCTATTACCAGTGACCTTCCTAGAGAGGCCTAAAGGGCACTGCTCTAGCCAGAGCTGCCCAAGTTTAGACTTTCTTTGGCACAGGCAGTCTATTCTAAACACTCTCTGACCTTGGCTTTCAGGTCAGAGGACTTACCTGGTTTGCCTCAGGAGACTTTTTTTGGACTCAATTCAAGAATACCAAAAAGATTTCAGAGGTGCCAGGTATGATGCTAAGTACTGATGTTATAAAAATGAATAAGCCAAAGAAGAACCCTGACCCAGAAAAAGTCACACTGTAAATAAATAATCAATAAGCAACATTAAAAGTGGTACGTTGTGGTTATATCCTACAGGACACTGGCAAGAAAAAAAATGGAGCAGATTTGCCCAAACATCAGGGAAAACCATAAAGCAAAGGCCATATCTGAGCCAGAGGCTGATTACTTTTCCAGAAAGTAAGTGCATTCCAAGTTCAGGAAGGTGCACAGGCCAAGGCATGGAAAGGCCAAAGGGTCAGCTCACTTGGAGAACAGTGAGCACAGTTCATTAGTTAGAGGATTGAGAGTGGTGGGTGGGAAGAGTTGAAGCAGCTCATCAATCCCTGCCTGCAGCTAGAGAACGCTGTAGGTTTCTGAACTGGATCTCTTACTCATTTTCCTCTTGAATGAGGATACCTCATCTCTAAGATTCACTCAACACTTATTATGCAACCTATACACTGCAGGGGAATACTATCATGAGCAAATTCTTGTTCTTAGGGAATTTATATACTAGCACTAGAAGATCATAAGGAATAAATACACAGAGAACTCTAACTTAGGAATAATGCATTAAGGATCCTAAGAAGTATTTTTGTAAACATATTTTAAAAAGTTGGACAGCACAGAAAAAAGTAAGATCACTTTCAGAGAAGACATGAATAGAGAAATCGGGAAAGGCTTTCTGCAGGTGGCGGCACAGGGGCCAGACCTTGATGGTATGACATAGGTGAAAACACTGAAGAGGAAACATTCCAAGGGAAACAACTAACCTAAGTTAAAATGTAGAGGTTGGCCAGGTGCAGTGGCTCATGCCTGTAATCCCAGCACTTTGGGAGGCTGAGGTGGGCAGATCACAAGGTCAGGAGTTCGAGACCAGCCTGGCTAACATGGTGAAACCCCATATCTACTAAAAATACAAAAATCAGCCATGCATGGTGGTGGGTGTCTATAATCCCAGCTACTCGGGAAGCTGAGGCAGGAGAATCACTTGAATCCGGGAGGCAGAGGTTGCAGTGAGCTGAGACAGTGCCACTGTACTACAGCCTGGGTGACAAAGTGAGACTGTCTCAAAAAAAAAAAAAATGTAGCCCTGCAGATAGATACAGCCTAAGCGCATGGATTCCTAAACATTCCCCTTAGATTCAGAACTAAGTATGTTTCTTTAACAATATTTACTGTGTGGGACTAAGACTTGATTCTAGCCTGTTTTGTGTTTTCTATGACACTAGTAACTTTTTTGTGGGTTTACTGCTTGGCGGCAGGGGTGGGAATAGTTGGGAATGGTCAAAAAAATAAGCTAGCAGAGTAGAACCACCTCAGAGTTGAAAACTGGTAGTCTTCCTGTGTTCTTGTTAAAGTCTTGCAGTCCAGGGCAGTGACCTGGGTTATTTGGACTTAAAATCTGTTTATGTAATCACACATTCTCCATATAAAGAGGTCCTTGTGAAGTCTGCCAATCTGTCAGTTCTAGTCGCAGTCAGTTCAAACAAGCACCTGACCAAGGAAATGGAGACCAGACTGGGGGTGTGGGAGAGAACTGGTCAAACTAGTTGGGTAATTTTATTATTGTTGAGCATGACATTTCCATCACAGGCAAGGACACTAAGATTATTTAACACCTAATAAGCCTAAGCATTGTGTTGGTGCTTATACACACAGGCCTCACATAATCCTCTAAACAACCCAACAAGTAGTATTAACTCAGATAAGTAAACTGAGGCTTAAAGGTTAAATTACTTGCTTAATGTCATATAGCTAGTCAGGGATGGTGCCCAGACCTCAGTCCACAAACCTAGCTTTTGCCCCACTGTTTGTTGCTCTCCCTCAGTCAGCAAACAACTGGGGAACTCTGTTTCAATCCAGGTGATGCTCTCCTATAGACAGATGAAGCTTTAGTCTGGCCTTGTGCACATACTGCCTGAGCTTTGATAGTCTAATTTTTCTCCTCCATGGACTTTAACATTCCTCTGATCAGTTCTTAATGATGTTTCCAGTGAGTTTTTTCCGTGCCACCCTTCTCAAGACTAAAGTGGATCCATTGCCTTTTGAAAAACAACCCAGGTCTCTGGCCTCAGTTTTCAAAAAGTTTCACCAGACCCTCCCAGCTGGCTTCTCATTCCTAACTCTTCAATTAATATATCCTCTCTTGGTCTCACCTGCTCATAACCTTAGCCCTATCTAACTACTGTCAGCAAGTCCCAGCCCAAGCTATAACCTCTTCTAAAACATCCTCTCTGTCTCAGTCTGCCAGATTTGCACCTTCCATTTCAGTTCCTAAAGTCTGTTTTTTCCTCAAAAAGTTCTCATCAGGAGGAGTTATGGCTTCTCTGAACTAAACAAGCAACTCCCCCATCCCATCACCTCTGCCTGGGCATAGCACAGTGTATAGTGATATGACCTTGAACAAGATGTTTCTGTTATTATGTGGCTGCTCAAGCTTTGTCCTGTGGCCTATATATTCTTAATGACTTCCTTCTGTACAGTCCCTCAAACTATAAATGCTTTGAAAGCAAAGTCTAACTTTATAGTTCATCTTCAATACAGTGCTGAAGAGAAAAGCATTTCTAAAAGTGTAAAGTGAGAGTGTGCTAAGCTTTTAAAAGCAAAGATAGATGAACTCCATCTGTCAAAACGGAACAGAACAAAACAAAAAGCCCACACTTGCTATCACACAATACAGTTTCCATGTTTTTACAAGAAAATCCTTCCTGGGTATGAAAACCACAATCAAGTAAAATATTAAAATATAGGATTCATAAATCACCAAACAGAGTGAGCACTATAAGCCAGGACCTGATTTTTTTTTTTAAAGACGACAAAATGTTACTCAAAAGACAAACTTACTGAATTGAACCTTAGAAATTAATTTTATAATTATAAAAAAGAAAAAGAAAAAAAGATGACAAACTGCAAAAGGTTAAATGCAGGCTAAAACCCTTGGCTTCTCAACTTGATCAGTTTACGTAACTCAGAAGGTAGAAAAACTTGGAATCAGGCCTAAAACAACACTGACTTATTTCCATTCAAGTTACGCTACAAGGGAAAAAATGTGGTTTGAAAACTTTCCTTTCCAAAGCCAGATTTAGACAAGTTGAAGGAAAAGAAATAAATGCTACACTGCAGCCCACTACAGCTCCACAATGGCCTGTTTTTGCCCATTCAAAGCAGATTCCTCTTAGCTAGCTGGCTTGTGTTCAATCTGAATAGTATGTGGCCTGGCTTGTGTCAGGTTCACAAACCATGCTGGTATTGCAAAAATTTCCACAACTACATGACCTTGGTCAAGATGACCAGAGGACAAGCCAGCCTCGCCAGTGCAGAGAACATACATGATCACCAGCAAAAAGAGCCATTCAGGAATACAGACTGATCTAAAAGTGGGTGGGAATCAGTGCACAAGGGTTTGATCACTCTTATATAAAGCTGCGTGCTTATTACTATTTCTTTTCATCTGGACCCTGTATCCCTAGACTGCTGAGGCTAACACTGTGAGCTGCCCAAGTAAGCTGAGAATGACAGCCTCTTCCACTCCACTGCCAGCATCACTGGCTTCTGAATACAGTTTCAGAGCCACATGGCCAAACTCCTGTACATCTGTAGCTGG